ATATATACATATATACATATATACTGTATATATGTGTATATATGTCAGAATCTATTTAAAGATGTTTTTTTCTATGAACACATATATATATATATATATAATCCAGAATAAAGGTTATATTTGTGCAGCTATGACTGTATTGATGTGTTAAGACGTGCAGATGAAATTAATTCTTTTCTTGTTTTTTTTTTCCCTTTTACATTGTTAATTAATAGAAAACGATAGCAATTCATGCTCTAAAATATGTCATTTTATATATATATTTGTTTTATTCCTGATAGACAGCACCACAGATATTCGTGATAGACTGTATTTTATTTATTTTATGTCACGCGTTCAAGACCACAGGCAAGTAATAATAACCTAGTTACCACGAAGCCTAACGTACTGACGTCTTTATTTTTGTCCCCATGTTCCATTCAAATTAGCTCTGATTGAGTGTTTAGTCACCTCTGAATTATATGGTATATACACACACAGAAAGAGAGAGAGAGAGAATCCTCCAAATCCCTTGTTAAAGGTACAGTAAACACACTTTAATTGTGCCTCAATATCACAGTAAGCGGTTGTATTTTTAATCACATTAAGTGGACTCTGTCTGTCTATCCATCCATCCATCCATCCATCCATCGATATTAGAACTAAAGTGAACTACTTGTCATTGTGACACAGCAGCTGCTTGGTACCAGCTGGACTCGAACCTTAAACCTTCCGAACCCAAATCCGCTTCCTTAACCGCTAAGCCACCACTGCACCACTTAATTATGTAATATCGATAAGAACTATCGGTTTTTGCTCCGATAATGAAAACCCGGTTTTGCCCAAATAATGTGATTTAAAATATAGTTTGAAAGTGAAAATGAAAGTGAATTATTGCCATTGTGATACAGCAAACCACTGCACACAATGAAATCTGTACTCTCCCTTTAATCCAATCGGCTGGCTATATCAGTATCGGTTGATATCGGAATGGAAATGAAGTGTTTGGACAATATCGGTATATCGGCAAGAAGTTATTATCGGACATCCCTCGTTAGTAGTAATTGTTATTAATGTGTATTTTGACCATTTCAATACATGTCGTTGCTGCTTATGTTGAAGCTTTCCTGCATTTAAGAACAGCAGCTTCTGCTCTGAGTGGTTACTGGAACCAGTGTGGGACGGTGGGGGGCAGGGGTCATTGGTGGTTCGAGGGGGGAGGGCGGGGGTGCGGGGGCATCGGCGCTGTAA